CCCGCAGATACCCGGCCCTCACTGGACAGACAGACCCGAGTGTTCACAAGTATTATCGGAATATAACTTATGGTCTATTCATGAGAATTGTCTCAAAACTGATCCCACATTGGGTTCAACACTAAAACTCATTCAACAAAACGATTTCAAGTTTTTCGCGGAATATTTTAAAGCTAAATACAAAGGGATTAAATAAAAATTCTTAAATGGGTTAAATTGAAATTATTGAATAATTTTTTACAAATTTTATATAAATTTTTTGAATTAATTGATTTAATTATTAACAAATAAAATAATTATGTGGATAATATAATGTAATCTATTTTAATTTAATTATTATGTGTTTATAGTTATTTTGAATAACATAATTTATTATAATAATTTATAATAATTCTGATAATATAGTTCCGTATTATGTGAGTAATCCGAGTCCTTCATAATAAACATTATTATTATTATTTTTCAAAATATTAATTGTTTTTCACTTCCCCACCATAAAGTCATTGAAAATCAATGTTTAGTTATTGAATAAAATTACTACTCTTTTGTAATACAGTTTAAATAAATACAAAACTATTTCAAACCACAGTAGGTTTTTATTAGTATTATATTATTATAGACTTAGTTATCAAAACTGATCCCACATTTGATTCCACACTAAAACTCATTCAACAAAATGATTACAAGTTTTTTGCGGAATATTTTAATGCAAAATATGAAAGAATTGAAGCAAAGTTTGAAAATGTTCACTTAAATTCATAATTAACCAATGAATCAATTTTGATAATAAAATAATTTTTATGTATTAAAATACTTTACAAAATACTATTTTAAATTACTTTTTAGAATATAAATAAAAAGTTCATTCAATGTTTCGAAGTACAGAATATTACCAAATTAAGTTAACATTATATACACTTTAATAATAAACTTATACTTTATATACGTTATATTCTCTGTATTTATTTACTAAATTTTTTGCGGAATATTTTAAAGCAAAATATGAAATATAAGCAAAATTAGAGAATATTCACTAAAATTCATAAATGAGTTAACTTAAAATTATTGAATATTTCTTATAATTTTGAAATTAACTTTTGAAATTTGATTTAATTATTAATAAATAGAATTTTTCAAATATATTTCAATAATTAAATATTAGCTCAATAATTATTTGTATAATATAATGTGCAGTAGTTTAATTAAATGTGTATATAGTTATTCATGGTTACCTACTATTATCCAGTATATGTCACATGTTTGTGTTATGCTGTATATTTAGTTTAAAATATAATCATTTATAATGAATTAATGTATTTTAATAAATCAAATAATGCAATGAAAAAAGTTATTATATTTTTTGATGAGTTTAGCAAACAATATAGCAATTAATATACACAGGAATGAGAGAACCCAGATTAATATTCGCAGCTAGTAAACTTAATCTACACTCAAAAATACTATTTTTTATTGATTATCTGATTTAAATCAATACTATTTTTATATTTTAATAATAAATTTATTGTTTAACAAATGGTGATTAAAACGAGTGGTATGTCTAGTGATGGACTGCATATACAGGCCATGAATTCGTGGTCAGCGATGACGCTATGAACTGATCCAAAGAGTCGGTGGAAAGACATGTCTTCACAGCTGATGGACGAGTGATCTGTGAGTTAAGACATGAGAATCAGTACCAGAATCGCAGTATTGCTGCCAAACATAGGTCTGTAATGTTATAATAGTATTACTTTTAGGTGTAGGTGCTGTCACAATACGAGACCCCTATTCACGCACAGGAACTGGCGTTTTGATGAACACATCTTTGGGTACCGGAGTATGTCGCTCAAAGACCCGGTAACGTATGGTGGGGGCCGGTAGTCGACCCAACACTATGTCAGACTTATGGACAATACCACTCAGCCATCAAACCTTTCAAATACAGGACAAGCGTTGATCACATCCTATATATGAGAGGTTTGAAGGCATGAGTATACCATTCAGTGGATCCGTTCAAGAGTTGATCCCATTTTTGATGACTTTATGTGTAAACAAATGGGTATTGTTTTCGTTGTATTGCTTGTCATCGTATGCTTTGCTATTAATAACAGTCTTATAATCAGTGAATATTTGCCGAAACCCTCTCAATGGACATGTAGGACGGGTAGCATATGGTGAACGCCGGTAGGGACTCGTAGCGGAGTCTTCCAAACCATATGTTGACTACCAGTCCGACCGCTCATGTATTGCGGGATTCCTATACCAGTTGTCCGAACGGATCGCACCATACGTTTGGACGACTGCCACAGGAATCCCGAAATACACACTAATGTCACAAATAGTTTGGAAAAGTTTCTCAAAATTAAACTTAACTTAAATGACCTGTCATACAATTATTATTAAATAGTTTATTCGTGTTTAATTAAATAATTAAATATTAAAGGTAAATAATGTATACAGTATGTGTTTTATATGCAATGCTACTGTATATAAAATTTATATATTATAAATGACTCACATTTCAGTTTACAATAATTTGTTGCATTGATTGCTATTACTGTTAACACAATTGAACGGATTTATGAGAAATATGTCTGAAATAACATTATGTGTTATATTATAAAATAATTAAAAGTATCGATATTTTAATTATCAAAACTCAATGGTATAATAAAATACCTTCTATTGATATGATAAAACTACCATGACAATCATTATTAATACAATAACTATTTCATAGAAACAATATAAATTTATGTAATTAATAGTGTATTTGTTTCTAATGCCACGTATTTATAAATAAATTTCTAAAATAATTAATTCACTAATTAAAAGGTGTTATACTGTACTATACTTCTATATTATTAATAACAATCATTTATTAATTGTGTTTAAAATGAGTTTAAATATTACTGCAAACAAAAGCCCACAACAATCGGGAGTGAAGTCCAGTAATAGCCGATCCACACATACAAGTGATGTGAGGCCTACGGAACACGAGTCCAATGATTCACACAATAAAACACTTGTCGACGAAAATAGACATAAAAGTGAAGAAAATATCATTAAATCGATTCAATTGTTTCATGTTTTCGACGACGAGAGAGGATATAATGTATTGTTTGTTACAAATGATGATAAGGTTTACGGAATGGGATCTAATTATTACGGATCCCTTGGTTTAGGACACAATTTATACGTCAATGAAATCCAAGTGATCGACAGATTGTGTCACAAGAATATCACACAATTCTATAATAGATTTGACTTTGTGTTAGCCCTCACTCATGATAATTGTCTCTATGGTTGGGGTCTTAATACTAAGGATCAGTTAGGTATGGCACACAAGAGTACGGATCACTTATACTTAGAACCGGTACCTTTTGATCCCAAGAACATTGATAATAAAGCTATTTATCTAATAAGTTGTGGTTTTTATCACACAATGATTCTGACGAGTGATGGCTGTGTCTATGGATGGGGTTTTAATAGGTTCGGACAGTTAGGTTGTGGAACAGACAGTGATATACAAAATATAAAAACATTTCGAGTGAATTTCAATCCTAATCACGAAATTAAAAACATTTATTGTTATATTTACTCTTCATTTGCCATCACATCTGAGGGACAAGTGTTTAGAGGGGTGAAAATGCTTACTATAATTTGGGACACAATTCATCGGATAATATATGGAAACCACAACTCATTGCAGACATGACTGGTATTAAGACTATCTGTTCCAATGGTGGCACCACTTTCTTCTTATCAAGCGATGGATTCATTAATTTTTGCGGTCGATATAGAAATGAAAACAACGAATATTTGTTACAAATATCACCAAAAGTAGTAAATACTGATAAGAGGTTTACAGAAATGTATGAAATTGTATCATTTAAGGATATGTCGTGTTGGTTTAGAGCAATAATGAATGGGAAAGTATATGAAATTACAGGCAAATCCAAGGATTCTATAATTGAAACAAATTATACAAATTTCTTCGACTTTTTCACAAATCATTCACAAATGACTCATAAAACCATTAATTTGTGTGATTATAAGGAATATAATTATAAGAATTGCGAAGAATTGATTGCAAAATGTTTGGATTATTTGGAAAAAGTATTTTCTTCTATAAAAGAGACCAATGGTATGAATTGGGTTTATGTGTCATTCATAGAGTACGTACGGCCAGTCATTGATTTCACGACTAACAGAGTATTATCGATAGTATTGTATTTTTTAAAATTACAACATTCCACGCGCAGTTTGATTTGATCAAGATCACTATTGAGTAATAACTTAATTTCTTTATAAGTAAAGCAAAATAAGCAAGATTAATATAAAAATATCCTTGAAATTAGTTAAGAAATTAATTAAATTAACTAGTATATTTTACAATTGTCCTTTTCGAACCCTAAATCCAACTCTAATTATAAATTTAATTTAAAACGTTTTAAACAATTAAGCTTTCTTACCAAATTAGTTGAATTTAATTTATGCAAAAATTAATAATTAATTAAATTTACTGTTAGCTTCTCACTTATACCCCTCTCTACTGAGTACATACTTTTGAATGACATTTAAAAAAACTAAATGAATGGATGGATTGATTTAATTTGTTTTATAGTTTTTTCCGAAGTGAATGAATACAACCGTATTTACGAAGAGTTGCATTCATTAGGTTCGGGAGCTTTTGGGGAAGTATTTGTTGTAAAATGTAAACGTATTGGACAAGAATATGCTGTTAAGAAAATAAAACTTGAAAGTAAGTTAATGATATTTTGATATATTTAGTATAACTATTATAGTATTAAAATATATTTTAAAATAATTTTTCGGTAAATTTCGAATTATTAATAATTATGAAAATTAATACATTTATAGGTTATGACATTTTAATAGCATGTATGCAAGAAATGCAAAAATTGGTAAAAGTTAGGTCAGAATATTGTGTCCAATATATAAGTCAATGGCAAGAAAACAAGATTTATTACATTCATATGGAGTTGTGTTCCCATAGTCTCGAGAATATTCTTCAACACAAACCACAAGTATTTTGTCGACAACCGGGAGAACCCATGAATTCAATCGAATTTTACATTTCGTGTCATATATAGTTTCTCTAGAATCTTACGCAAGTTATAAATGTACTTAACTTAGGAGGCCAGTAAGTAAGAGACCTCAAACCCGACAATATATTAGTGGCTGAGACTGTAAGAAACGGCAGGTATTTAAAAGTGAGTGATTTTGGGTTGGTGTCACTGCACACCAGCTCTTCTGGAAGTCATACCACAGGAGTGGGAACCCTTAAATACATGGCACCGGAAGTTAAATTGCAAACTAAATACACACCGAAAGCAGATATTTATAGCCTTGCTATCATTGCAGACAAATTGTTTAATTTGAATAATTTTAAGTAATTATTTTGATTTTTAGTTTATTAACTTAATTCATTAAAATGTATTAATATTTTTGATTACAGTTCCCCGGAATTGAGTATTTACTCGGGATATGAAATATACGACAAATTCGTTAAATTGGATCAAATCATAGACTCGATGTGTGTTCCCATTCATAGCACTCGGCCCGAGTGTTCACAAGTATTATCGGAATATAACTTATGGTCTATTCATGAGAATTGTCTCAAAACTGATTCCACATTTGATTCCACACTAAAACTCATTCAACAAAATGAATACAAGTTTTTCGCAAAATATTTGGCTGTAAATTTTGGAACAGAAAATGTCATTAAATCGATTCAATTGTTTCATGTTTTCGACGACGAGAGAGGATATAATATATTGTTTGTAACAAATTATGACATGGTTTACGGTTTGGGATCTAATTATTGGGGATCTCTTGGATTGGGACACAATCTATATGGTGGTGCTTTGTGCAAATGTATTGGTTCTTTGCAATGGAATGGCTTCTCTAGTATTCTTGAGCTCTTTTTGACTCCTATTGTCCTATTGGGGATCTCTTGGATTGGGACACAATCTATACGTCAATGAAATCCAAGTGATCGACAGATTGTGTCACAAGAATATCACACAATTCTTCAATGGATTCGACTTTGTTTTAGCCCTCACTCAACACAATAATCTCTATGGTTGGGGTCATAATGATGCGGGACAGTTAGGTATGGAACCCAAGAGTACAGATGCCTTATACGTAGAGCCGAGACTTTTTGATCCCAAATATATCGATAATACTATTAATCAAATAAGTTGTGGTTATTATCACACAATGATTCTTACGAGTGATGGCTGTGTCTATAGATGGGGTTTTAATAGGTTCGGACAGTTAGGTTGTGGATCAGACAGTGATATACAAAAAAGAGACACATTTCGAGTGAATTTCAATCCTAATCACGAAATTAAAAGTATTTATTGTTGTTCTTACTATTCATTTGCCATCACATCCGAGGGACAGGTGTTTAGTTGGGGTCAAAATGATTACTATAATTTGGGGCACAATTTATCTGATAATATATGGAAACCACAACTCATTGCAGACATGACTGGTATTAAGACTATCTGTTCCAATGGTCGCATAACTTATTTCTTATCAAACGATGGATTCATTAAGTTTTGCGGACAATATAGGAATGAAAACAACGAATATGTGTTTAAAATATCACCAAAAGTATTAAATACTAGTAAGACGTTTACAGAAATGTATATAATTGTATCATTTAAGGAAAAATTGTATTTGTTAAATTCTTTAATGAATGGAAAAATATATAATATTACAGACCTGACAAATGATATTATAATTGAAACAAATTATTCAAATTTCTTCGACAGTTTCACAAATGAGTTTCAAATGACTCATAAAACCATTAATTTGTGTGAATATAAGGAATATAATTATAGGAATTGTGAAGAATTTCGTGCAAAATGTTTGGATTATTTGGAAAAATTATTTTCTTCTATAAACGAGTTATCAAACACTGGTATGAATTGGTTTTAGCTGTCATTCATAGAGTACTTACATTCAGTCAGAATTCACGACTAATACAGTGTTATCGATAGTATTGTATTATTATTCCCAAAGTTCATGATAAAGATTTTGATTTGATTTAATCTGAATTGAGTAATAACTTGCATTAAGTTTTGCAGTAAAACCAAATATGCAATATTATTCTAAAAATGTTCTTGAATTAGTTTAATTTGATTAACTAGTACATTTTACAATTGTCTCTTTGTGTCAATTTGATGAACTTTCAAACAATTCAGCTTTCTAAAAAAATTTTAATTATGAAAAAGTAATAATTAATTAAATTTATTATATAGTAAGCTTTTGAATTATACCCCTCTTTTGAGTACTTTTGAATGACATCTTAACAAAACTGAATGAATGAATGGATTTATTTAATACTTGTTTATACCTATAGTTGTTTCCGAAGTCAGTGAATACAAGCGTTTGTACGAAGAGTTGCGTTCATTAGGTAGGGGATCTTTTGGGAGAGTATTTGTTGTTAAATATCGAAGTGATGGAAAAGAATATGCGGTTAAGAAAATAATTGGTAGTCTAGTTTTTTCATTTAATTATAATCGTAACAAATCAATACTAAATACAATACAAAATGGTTAACCGAGTCCTTCATAATAGCAAATAAATTATTATTTAAAATATTAATTGGCGTCCAATTCACATGTAAATGTTGAACCATGAATTGATTTTGATTATTTATATTTGTAATTTATTGCCAGTTGCATCGCTACTAGTCATGGTTGTAGTATACTGTTGACCAAGGTACTGATAATTAAGATAAAAAGGTATAATCTGCTGATTATTTGTAGTTTATGATGTTTGTGGGCTTTGCTTAAAATGTTGTTGCCTTTGTGAAAGGTCTGGAAAACTTTTGTGTTGTAGCAAAGGGGTTGATGTCAATACCGGATGTGTAGTTACAACAGGAAGTGGAGCTGGAGTTTGTGGATATGGTGTGAAATAATGTCCGGATCTGGTGGTGCTTTGTGCAAATGTATTGGTTCTTTGCAATGGAATGGCTTCTCTAGTATTCTTGAGCTCTTTTTGACTCCTATTGTCCTTTTGGGGTTTTGGTGATATGTACTATTTTTTCTTTGAGTACTGGTTATTGGACATGAAATGAATGATTTCTACTTATCTTGGTGATTCTTATCCGTCGAGACTGCACCAAATAAGACGAGGGTTATTTTGAAAAATTTATAATTCATTTTATTTTTAAAATAATTATAAATTAATACAAAATCTCATAAAAATTAAATGTTCACACATTTTGTGTCATATTACGACATCAAAATTAATTTCAAAACATTTAAATTAAATATACTATATTTTTCACTCTTATACTAAATTCAAGTTTAAGGTTACTAAAAACCACATCAGTGTTAACATTCAAGCTGTCAACTTCATAAAAATTTTCATACTTTTTCATTTAATTTTTATGAGATTTTTTATTAATTTATAATTATTTTTAAAATAAAAAGTGTGAAAATTTTTATGAAGTTGACAGCTTGAATGTTAACACTGATGTGGTTTTTAGTAACATTAAACTTGAATTTAGTATAAGAGTGAAAAATATAGTATATTTAATTTAAATGTTTTGAAATTAATTTTGATGTCGTAATATGACACAAAATGTGTGAACATTTCTGTATAAGTATTGAACGGATTTATGAGTAATATTACTGAAATAACATTATGTGTTATGTTATGAGATAAATATAAGAATAATATTTTGATTATCAAAACTCAAATGTATTTTATTTACAGTGCTTTATTTTATTACAATTTATCTATAGATATGATAAAAATACCATGACAATCAATCATTGGAAATAAATATTTCTTATTAACAATATATGACATATTTTATATGTAATTAATAGTGTCTTTGTAATATTTGTGATGTATTAATATAATTAAATTTCTAAAATAATTAATTCCCTAATTATACGTATATAATACAATAATTTGTTAATTGTGTGTAAAATGAGTTTAAATATGAGTGCAAACAAAAGCCCACAACAATCGGGAGTGGAGTCCAGTAATAGCCGATCCATACATACAAGTGATGTGAGGCCTACGGAACACGAGTCCAATGATTCACACAATGAAACACTTGTCGACGGAAATATACATAAATGTGAAGAAAATATGATTAAATCGATTCAATTGTTTCATGTTTTCGATGACTTCCGAGGATATAATGTATTGTTTGTAACAGATGATGACATGGTTTACGGTTTGGGATCTAATTATAGGGGATCTCTTGGTTTAGGACACAATGTATACGTCCATGAAATCCAAGTGATCGACAGATTGTGTCACAAGAATATCACACAATTCTTCAATGGAGTGGACTTTGTGTTAGCACTCACTCAACAAAATGTTCTCTATGGTTGGGGTCGTAAAAATAAGGGACAGTTAGGTATCGCGGCCATGAGGAATGATGTCTTATTCGTAGAGCCAGAATTTATTGATCTCAAATACATCGATAATAAAATTATTGTTCAAATAAGTTGTGGTTATTATCACACAATGATTCTCAAGAGTGATGGCTGTGTCTATGGATGGGGTCATGATATGTTCGGATGATAGGTCATGATAGGTTGTGGACCAAACAGGGATTACCGAAAAGGGGACACACTTCGAGTGAATTTCAATCCAAATCACGAAATTAAAAGCATTTATTGTTGTTATTACTCTTCATTTGCCATCACATCTGAGGGACAGGTATTTAGTTGGGGTCGAAATGATTTTTATAATTTGGGACACAATTCATCGGATACTATATGGAAACCACAACTCATTGCAGGCATGACTGGTATTAAGACTATCTGTTCCAGTGGTAGCTTCACTTACTTCTTATCAAACGATGGATTCATTAATTTTTGCGGTCGATATAGAAATGAAAACAACGAATATTTGTTACAAATATCACCAAAAGTATTAAATACTGATAAGAAGTTTACAGAAATGAATACAATTATGTCACAGGAGAATAACCTATCTCTATTTGTTCCTATAATGAATGGAAAATTATATAATATTACAGACAAATCAAAGGATTCTATAATTGAAACAAATTATACAAATTTCTTCGACTGTTTCACAAATGAGTATCAAATGACTTATAAAACCATTGATTTGTGTGATTATGAGGAATATAATTATAAGAATTTCAAAGAACTTATAACAAAATGTTTGGATTATTTGGAAAAAGTATTTTCTTCTATAAAAGAGTTATCAAACAATGGTATGAATTGGTTTTATATGTCATTCGTAGAGTACGTACCGCAAGTTAGTAATTGATTTTACGACTAACACAGTGTTATCGATAGTACTGTCTTATTATTATTCCCAAATTTCAACATAACGAGCGCAGTTTGATTTGATCAAAATCTCTATTGAGTCATAACTTAATTTACTGTATACATATGCAAATTTCCTTATTACCTTAATAATAAGTTAAGAAATAATAATTTTTTTAGTCCATTTTACAATTGTCTCACTCTTCGAGCCTAAATCCAAGTCTCATTATCACTATAATTTTAATTTAAAGATGTTTCAAACATATAAGCGTTCTGAACAAATTATTTTATTTTATTTATGCAAAAATGATTAATTGATTAATTAAACAAGTTAGCAGGCTTCTGAATTATCCCTCTCTCCTTTGAGTAGTACTTTTGAATGACATTTTAACAAAACTAAATGAATGAATAGATTTATTTAATTTGTTTTATAGTTGTTTCCGAAGTGAATGAATACAACCGTTTGTACGAAGAGTTGCGTTCATTAGGTTCGGGAGCTTTTGGGGAAGTATTTGTTGCTAAATGGAAACCTGATGGACGAGAATATGCGGTTAAGAAAATAAGATTTGAAAGTAATTTAATGATATTTAGATATATTTAGTATAACTATTGTAGCATTACAATGTATTTTATTGTATTTAAAATTAATGTTTGGAAAAATTTCAAATTATTAATAATTATCACAATTAATACATTTATAGGTGATAACAATTTACGGGAATGTATGCAAGAAATGCAAAAATTGATAAAAGTTAGGTCAGAATATTGTGTCCAATATATGAGTCAATGGAATGAAAACAAAATTTATTACTTTCGTATGGAGTTATGTTCCTATAGTCTGAAGAATATTCTTCAACACAAACCACAAGTTTTTGGTCGACAACCGGGAGAACCCATGAATTCAATCGAGTTTTACATTTCGTGTCATATATTCCCGTAAATTGTTATCACCTATAAATGTATTAATTGTGATAATTATTAATAATTTGAAATTTTTCCAAACATTAATTTTAAATACAATAAAATACATTGTAATGCTACAATAGTTATACTAAATACGAGTTTTACATTTCGTGTCATATATTCAAAGAGATCTTAGAATGCGTTCAATATTTACATGAATTGAATCCTCCGGTCATTCATAGAGACCTCAAACCCGACAATATATTAATTTCATCACAGCTTAGGAACGGGAGGTTTATTAAGATATGTGACTTTGGGTTGGCGACACTGCACTCCAGTTCCTCTAGTAGTCATACCACTGGAGTGGGAACTCGTCAATACATGGCACCGGAAGTTAAATTGCAAACTAAATACACACCAAAAGCGGATATTTATAGCCTGGCAATCATAGCACACAAATTGTTTAATTTGAATAATTTTAAGTAATTATTTTGATGTTTACTTTATTGACATAATTCATTAAAATGTGATAAAATTCTTGATTACAGTTCCCCTGAGTTAATTATTTACTCGGGATATGAAATATACGACAAATTCATTAAATTGGATCAAATCATAGACTCGATGTGTGTTCCCATTCATAGCACTCGACCCGAGTGTTCACAAGTATTATCGGAATATAACTTATGGTCTATTCATGAGAATTGTCTTAAAACTGATCCCACATTTGATTCCACACTAAAACTCATTCAACAAAACTATTACAAGTTTTTTTGCGGAATATTTTAAAGAAAAATATGAAGGAATTTAATCAAAGTTAGAGAATATTCTAAAATTCTTAAATGAATTAAATTAAAATTATTGAATATTTCTTATAATTTTGAAATTAATACTATGAATTAATTGATTTAATTATTAATTTTTTTTTCAAATATTTTGAATAATTAAATATTAGCGCAATAATTATGTGAATGTAGTCTAATGTAGTCTAATTTAATACAATTGAAATGTTTGTTATATTTATTCAGTTACTTTACTATTATCCACTATATGTAATTTGTTTTTATTAAATGTTTATTTTAAATATAGTCACTAATAATGAATTAATGTATTTAGTAAATTAAATAATTATTTAAAACTCAGTTTTATAGACATACCCTGGCCAAAAGTTATAATTATTAGAAGTTACGCTGTGTACGTAGTCTCGGGAAAATACTTCACCCATAGGTCGGGCAGTCTATTGTATTTGACATTAATATATGCCAAAGTGCTACACATTTTTAGTCATTTAAACCATACTTGCATAGGACTTGCATGGAGGGAAGTAAGTGGATTGTCTGGGAGTTCAGGCTGTACGGCATTTTTTTTGTTGAAATCACTTTTTAAAAATCCATTCATAGGCACAAACAACGTCTCATTTACTAAAACATTACTTTTCTTTCAAATTCAACATAAAACTGATCTATATTTTACATCTAAAGTCATTTTAAGTTATAAATATTAAGTTTTAATGAGTAAGTCTTCCCGGTTACTTAATTTGTAAAATATAGATCAGTTTTATGTTGAATTTGAAAGAAAAGTAATGTTTTAGTAAATGAGACGTTGTTTGTGCCTATGAATGGATTTTAAAAAAGTGATTTCAACAAAATAGTGCAGTACAGCCTGAACTCCCAGACAATCCACTTACTTCCCTCCATGCAAGTCCTATGCAAGTATGGTTTAAACAAAAAGGTGTAACACTTTGGCATATACTAAGCCGTATGATAGGCTTCCCGTGAGACAGAGCCAATTTTAAATGCACAAACTTAAATCATCTAGCTTACATTCATAGGATTAATTAAATTACCTATAGTTAATAACCAAATATTATATTTAAAGATAGCTCTGTCTTACAGAAAGCCTATCATATATTGGGTGCTCAGATCCATGTCCACGATCCGTCTGTAATGACTGCCGGTGCCCGACTCGATATACCGGTGCCGAACTGATATGACAATCAGGATCTCCACCACAGCCACGCCAATGGCTATATAGCCTACAAAACATACGAAAAAATAAATTCAAATAACATTTCATTCATATAAATCACGATTTTCACTCATTTTACACGTATTTATGACTAGAAATGTATGATTTATTATAGTATTATGATATGAGTCTCACCTAAACTTCCAGATATAGCTTCATGTAGTCGATTAGGGCTTTAGTGCAACCCTTATCCTGATATTAATTGTTCAAAAAGTTTTTTATTGCAAATTCTTGAAAAAAGTAGGCGACCCTCTCGATGGACATGTAGGACGGGTAGCATAAGGTGAACACTGGTAGGGACTCGTCATGGAGTATACCAAACCGTATGTATGACTACAATCCGACCGCTAATGTATTGCGGAATTCCTATACCAGTCGTCCGAACGGATCGCACCATACGTTTGGACGACTGCTATAGGAATCCCGAAACACACAGTAATGTTACCAATAGTTTGGCAAAGTTTCTCAAATTTAAACTCAACAAATGACCTGTCATATAATTATTAGCAAATAGTTTATGCATGTTTAATTAATATTTAAATAATTTACAGTATATGTGTTTTTGTATGTTATGCTACCGTATACTATTATAAATCACTTTCACATTTCAGTTGTTAACAACAACCCGTTAATATATAAAACATTATATAAAACGGACATTTTTATCAAATATTTCTGAGGTGACTGTCCATTAAGTTTTTATAAAATGTTTCTCTTATAGAAATCATAGTATTTTTACAATTTTCTAATCGCATATTATTGTCATTTTAAACCAAAAGTATATATACAGGGAATTTAAACCTAAAACATAACTATTTCAAATTAAATATAATTTTTATAAATATAATTAACTCTAAGTGCGAGAATAAAAAGTGTAGCAAGCTACTTACCACACAGATAAAGTTGAACACAAATAATACAATTTTAATCACAGATCCACCGAAACTAACAGTCATTTCTCAGTGTATTTAATATACGAAAATTTATTTTATTAATACTATTATGAAGTTATCATTATATTATTGTGTTTTTGGAAGAGTTACAAAAATATTGTTATATTTTTCATTTTTGTCGCTTTTTTTGTATTGTTTAGAATTACATGTATTTATACAGCGATTCAGTCACTCGTATACTTGTATATTATTCAGTATACCTGTTGGGATACATTAACCGCAATGTCTATTATTAATATCACAGGTAATGACAGGTATGTTACACAACATATACACACAATTAGATTTGCATTATTCAATAATAATTAAAATTATTTCAAATCATTTTAGCAAAAAAGTTCTATTATGAAATATTAATAAAAATTGCCATGAAAACTTTATTTTATACTAAATAATAATATCATGTATACAAATTTACAAAAAAAATTCACTTTGATTAACAATTAAGTGCTTATTTATCTATTTATATTAAAATGTCATTAATAATAAATTAATATTTTTAGTAAATTTAATAAAGTAATTTAACAAACATTATAGCAAGTAATATACACAGGAATGGGAGCAGCTGGATTAATATTCGCAGCTAGTAAATATAATATGGACTTACATCTATTAAAATTATCGGGAGCTCAGACACTCGACTGGATCCCCGTCCACGATATATCTCTCATGGCTGCCGGTGCCCGACTCGTAGACAATACCATTGGTTATGATAGATATGGCCAATGGATACGTGGATCCACTGAATGGTATACCCATGCCTTCAAACCACTGATATATAGACAAAGAGTTGATCCCATATTTACCGATCTTATCATAGATAGTGTCATAAAGTTGTGCCAACTTTTGGGTTTTGTTGCCATAGTTTTCTTGAATAACTCTTTTCGTAAAAGGCTTTCCGTTTAAAACACGCAATGGATTTCGGACTTAGTTTTCATGGCATTTACGATACAAAGACTGATGCAATCGCTCCTAACATACCAATGAATCCTATTGCCGGCAATTGGTGTCATAATTAGATGGTCATAGCCTGGTGTTGATCTCCGAATAGGTTAACAGATATTGAGATCTTGTGTCCATTGCATGAAATTTTTCGCCATCTATCAGATCCGGGAGATTATTGGGTGAATGCATGGAAATGTACAGCAAATATGAGTCCATATCATAGATATTGGGCGGAAACCATTGCTTATTAATGGACCCAAACTCTCACTATAGTCCGACCGCTCATGTATTGAACGTTCAGTTCGGACGTCTGGTATAGGAATCCCAAAACAAACACTAATGTCACTAATAGTTTGGAAAATTTTTTCATTTTTAAACACAACTTAAATGACCGGTTATTACACCAATTATTATCAATTGGTGTATTCATGATAGTACTCGCAAATTGTTTATACATTGCATTCATATACCGCACATTGAAATGTAATTTTAATTATGAAAATAATTTTATATAAATTAGTATATGACTGAAAAAGTTGCTATATTTTTGTCGCATTTTTGTGTATTGTTTAGAAATACATGTATTTATACAGCGATTCAGTCACTCGTATCTGTATATATTATATTAAAATATCAATCATAAGAATTAATGTATTTAGTAAATTAAATAAAGTAGTCAAAAAGTTTATGAGTTTAGCAATTATACCAATTAATACAGAGGGATTCTGTATACACAGGGATGAGAGCACCAGGATTAATATTTTACAGCTAAATATAGACAGCTAATATAGACTCGCATTTATTTTATTGATAATCTGATAATATATTTATTTAAACCCCCATATATTAATAACTTTAAAACAATTCAATAGTAATAACTAATTAAATTATTTTATGTGACAAAATATTTTCAAGTAAATCATAATAAATAAATTATAATTCAAATATCAATTTTTTTTCAATGCATACCATAAGGCCATTGAAATAAACATAGTGTTTTGCATTAATATTTTTTTGAATTAATATTTTCATCACATTATAAAAATAGGATTATTATTATAATTAAAGTTTATTACAATAAATGATTTTTCAACTAAATTCTGTCCATACGTTTAACATTGAGAATGTGAATTAGGTTTAGACAGTATGTTAGGTTAAGTTAGAATTTAAATATCAATAGCACTAAGTTAGTAATAGGTAAAGATTTTATCCCAGACCTTGCTCATTTGATAGTACTTTTAATTCTTTAAGCATTAATTATACAGAATCTGATCACAATATATTTAACTTGTTTTTGGTGAACATCTTATTTACTAAAGTTTTACGTTCAATAAAAGTATTGTGCAATAAATGACCTTGTACTGCAAGGTGCTAATGTAAATACTAATAACCAGGATAAATGTTATATAACAGCTAATGAATATATGACACAAAACTTTACTGTATATAAGAATTGAACGGATTTCTGAATATTGAGTAATATTTCTAAAATAATATTATGTGTTATATTATGAGATAAATAAACATAAAATAAACGTATTAATTATCAAAACTCAAAAGTAATGGTATTATAAAATACTTTCTATAGATATGATAAAAATCCCATAACTATCAATATCAATAACTATTTCATAGTAACAATATATGTAATGTATACGTGGCTTTGTTTCTAATGTGATGTATTTATAAATAAATTTCTAAAATAATTAATTCACTAATTACAAAATGTTATACTGTATTATAATTCTATTTTATTAATAACAATCATTTGTTAATTGTGTGTAAAATATGAGTTTAAATATTACTGCAAACAAAAGCCCACAACAATCGGGAGTGGAGTCCAGTAATAGCCGATCCATACATACAAGTGATGTGAGGCCTACGGAACACGAGTCCAATGATTCACACAATGAAACACTTGTCGACGAAAATAGACATAAAAGTGAAGAAAATATGATTAAATCGATTCAATTGTTTCATGTTTTCGACGACAACAGAGGATATAATGTATTGTTTGTTACAAATGATGACATGGTGTACGGAATGGGATCTAATTATTACGGATCTCTTGGTTTGGGTGACAATCAATATGTCAATGAAATCCAAGTGATCGACAGATTGTGTCACAAGAATATCACACAATTCTTCAATGGAGTGGACTTTGTATTAGCCCTCACTCAACATAATTGTCTTTATGGTTGGGGTTATAATAATAAGGGACAGTTAGGTATCGCACCCATCAGTGGAGATGGCTCATATTTAGAACCGGTAGCTTTTGATCATAAATACATCGATAATAAGTCTATTTATCTAATAAGTTGTGGTTATTATCACACAATGATACTCACGAGTGATGGCTGTGTCTATGGATGGGGTCATAATATGTTCGGACAGTTAAGTTGTGGACCAGAAAGTGATATACAAAATGGTGAAACATTTCGAGTGAATTTCAACCCTAATCACGAAATTAAAAGCATTTATTGTTGTGTTTACTCTTCATTTGCCATCACATCTGAGGGACAGGTGTTTAGTTGGGGTCGAAATGATTGGTATAATTTGGGACACAATTCATCGGATAATATANCTGAGGGACAGGTGTTTAGTTGGGGTCGAAATGATTGGTATAATTTGGGACACAATTCATCGGATAATATATGGGAACCACAACTCATTGCAGACTTGACTGGTATTACGACTATCTGTTCCTATGGTCCGATAACTTTCTTCTTATCAAACGATGGATTCATTAATTTTTGCGGTCGATATAGGAATGAAAACAACGAATATTTGTTACAAATGTCACCAAAAGTATTAAAAACTGATAAGAGGTTTACAGAAATGAATAAAATGGAATCATATAAGGAAAAATCGTATTGGTTTACTGCAATAATGAATGGAAAAATCTATGATATTATAGACAAACCAAACAATAATATAATTGAAACTAATTATACAAATTTCTTCGACTGTTTTACAAATGTGTTTAAAATGACTCATACAACCATTAATTTGTGTGATTATAAGGAATATAATTATAAGAATTGCGAAGAATTTATTGCAAAATGTTTGGATTATTTGGAAAAAGTATTTTCTTCTATAAAAGAGTTATCAAACAATGGTATGAATTGGTTTGAGGTGTCATTCATAGAGTACTGTACGTACAGACAGTCAGTCATTGACTTCACGACTAACAGTGTTATCGATAGTATTTTTTATTAACAAATGGCAACAGAACGCGCGCAGTTTTATTTGATCAAGATATTTATTGAGTAATAACTTTATTTGCTGTATTAGTAAAGATAAATAAGCAAGTAATTAGATTTATATACGTTGACAGGAACTTTATTCAATTTATAATTAAATTAATTGAACGAGTAAAATGTTAATAGAGTAAAGCTTGCGAATTAGCTTGAGAATAATATTAAACTTATTTTCTTCAAAAAGAATCTAACAATTCAGTTTTCTACTAACAACTAATTATTTTAATTTTATTTATGAAAAATGAATAATTAATTAAATTTACTGTTAATAAGCTCATTATTTATCCCTCTCCTCTGAGTACTTTTGAACAACATTTTAACAAAACTGAATGAATGAATGGATTTATTTAATTTGTTTTATAGTTGTTTCCGAAGTGAGTCAATACACGAGTTTGTTCCAAGAGTTGCATTCATTAGGTTCGGGATCTTTTGGGGAAGTATTTGTTGCTAAAAAGAAATTTGATGGACGAGAATATGCGGTTAAGAAAATAAGATATGAAAGTAATTTAATGATATTTAGATATATTAAGCATAACTATTATACCATTAGAATGTATTATACTTTATTTGAAAATAATGTTTGGTAAAATTTCAAATTATTAATAATTATCACAATTAATACATTTATAGGTGATGACAATTTACGGGAATGTTTGCAAGAAATACAAAAATTGATAAAAGTTAGGTCAGAATATTGTGTCCAATATATGGGTCAATGGTGGGAAAACCAAATTTATTACATTCAAATGGAATTGTGTTCCCATAGTCTGCAGAATATTCTTCAACACAAACCACAAGTATTTGGTCGACAACCGGGAGAACCCATGAATTCAATCGAGTTTTACATTTCGTGTCATATATTCAAAGAGATCTTAGAATGCGTTCAATATTTACATGAATTGAATCCTCCGGTCATTCATAGAGACCTTAAACCCGACAATATATTAGTGGCGAAGACTGTAAGGAATGGCAGGTTTTTCAAAATTTGTGACTTTGGTTTGGCTACTGTTCACCAGCACTCGTCAGATAAGGGAGACCTGGGATATCAGGCGCCAGAAGTAGGTCAGGGGGTTGACTATAATTATAAGATAGATGTCTACAGTTTGGCTAAAATTGCAGAAAATGATATTTTTGGGATTAATTTGGAGGACGAACGGTAAGATAATGTGATTTAATATTTAAATTATTTAATTCTTAATTGAGTTTATTATTTATTTGAATATATTCTGTAGTTTAGAAAAGTATTCAGACAATGAATTTATAAACAAATGTGTGTTTAAGTTAAAACAAATATTGCATTCAATGTCATACTATAACTGGGATCACCCGCACATACCCGGCCCTCACTGGACCGACAGACCCGAGTGTTCACAAGTTTTATCGGAATATAACTTATGGTCTATTCATGTGAATTGTCTCAAAACTGATCCCACATTTGATTCCACACTAAAACTCATTCAAGAAAATGATTACAAATTTTTTGCGCAATATTTTAACGAAAAATATGAAGGGATGGTTATATCACAAAAGGCCCACAACGTAAAAGGTCTACAATCCAATAGACTTACAGTCCAATTGGCTAACCGACTAAAAGATCTACTTTTCAACTTAATTATGAACTTTATAATAAATAATTTATCATGAATAAAAGTTGCAAAATAGTTAATAAAAAGTGTATTCAAAAAAGTTATTATTTTTTATGAAATTTATCAATGATTATAGGCTATAATTAATAGCAATTAATATACACAAGAATGAAAGTACCTAGATTAATATTTGTGGCTAATAAATTTTGTTTTAAATAATATATTAAATTATAAACACATCTACTCTGTACTCTTATTATTTTATTGATTATTTAATAATATTTGTATTTTAAACCGCATATATTTTATATTAATAATCTGCATACAAATCAATTGTAATTTATGGAGTGGATGCTGGTATCAGATGGTGGCATAGGTGCTCACGAAGGCTTACCACTGAACCACTCAAACCACACACATGTAGGAGTCGACTGAACACTACTAAGTCTGAAGGGAACTACAGTTTTTAAATAACAATAAACATAACTTTAATTATAATAACATAAGAGTCGGTTCTCCGCAGAGCAACCGCTCAGGTGTGCGTTCAGATTAAGACTCCCTTAAAGCATACAAAATGCTGTCTTTTATCGGTTGCAGACAAAATCGCGAATCCAATAATCGCGAATTTAAAAATCGCGAAACCCATAATTGCAAAATTAAAATAGCTAGGACAAAATCGCGGAACCCATAATCTTTAAATTTAAATTAATTTAAATTAATATTAGTTTATAGTATATTTATGTTGATAGTTAGGTTAGATTAGGTGATATTATGTTATGCTATGTCATGTTAGATTAGTTTAGGTTAGGTAAAATTAGGTTAGGTTAGGTTACTAATTTCGCGATTATGTCTTTCGCGATTTTTAAATTCGCGATTTTGGGGTAGACCCCATTGACTGTCGTATTTAAATAATAAAACAATTTGTAAATAAATAATTAAATAATAATAATATATAATCAAAAAAATCTAAATCACAGACAAATGTATAAATAAAGTCACAAAACATTACGTAATCT